CAGCGAAAATATGAAAACATTACTATGAACAAAAAATATGGTGACGGCGTATCGGATCGGTGCATGTTCAATCATCGTAACGGAAGAAGTGGTGATTGTCGGCCGTCGGAGGTCGGAGGCCGATACTCATCTAGCGCGACTTGTCTTCCCGTCCCGCATAGGTCTTAATAGCATTGGTGGGAGAGTTAACGATATCGCGTCTTTACCCGTGATAGTGGTGACAGTGTAGATCGGTCGTTGCGGTGCCTGTACTTAGTATTCGATGACCGTTACGTACCGTGTCAAAATAAACGTACACAAATTTGAAATGTACCAAAACACCAGTATTAATATTTGGACATAAATCTAGTTTAGCAGCCATAGGTTCGACACTCGGTGAGCACTAAAAAAGTTTTTGCACTTTTTCTAATTGTTTTTAAGATAACTGATACTAGTAATTACTAAATACTAATTATCCTGTAACCTACTCGAGGTGGTGTTGCATAGCAAGTCGAGGGATATTTTAAATTTACGGAGTGGAGCGACGCTGCCGAGGAGCGCAGCGACGAATGCCGCAAAACGTGTAATCACTGCCCATACTACGATATAACTTAGTAACATGACTTAAAAAAAATCAAAAAAACTGCTAGTAGGTCATAGGATAATTACTAGTTGTTAAAACAGTTATCATAAAATCATTTAAAAAAAGTGCAAACATTTTACTTGCTTTTACCGGGATCGAACTCGAAGTTCTGTAGTGCATTATACGGGCCTCAGTTCCATTACACTACGAATAGTACGAATATACGTTGCAATATTATAAAATTGAGTAACGTATTAAGCTATTAACATAATACTTATATATTAACCAAACTCTAAAATTAAGTCCGTCCGCAAAATTTTGACTTCACTATCGTTTTAAGCAAACTTAACTACATAGATTTCAAAAATAACAGTGAAAAATTAGCGTGGCCTCTAAATTAGATTTGTTCCAAAATTGGTAGATATTGACAACTACTAAAAACCACTATTCTAAAATTTTAATTTTATTTTTAAAACGTGGAATTCAAATAGAACTTAACTATACTATTTTTTCTTAACCATAAATATTTATATATAATATTACTGCATTTGATTACATAGATCACAATTTTCTATAAATTATTATATAAATAAAGTTATGAAAAAATCATCATTGAAATATGATTGCATTCAAAAGAACAACTGTTTACATTAATTACAGATTATAAGAAGGATAAGTTGCATTTTGTATTCAGAAAGTCGCACGGTATAAATATTTATCAAGTTGTTTATTATGTTTCAATAACTTAGTTACATACTGATCAATAAACCTAAAACTGTATACAAAGTTCATTAGATTAAATTAAAAATTGTTTATATCTTTGATTTAGAAAATAAAAATATTTTACGCTAAAAACATATTTTAAATTGGTACATAATTAAATATAATACATAACGAGTGATATAGATAACTATTATCAGAGTATCAATTCAGTGATAGGACCTAATGAGTAGTATTTATTTATTTATTTTTTTTTTTGTATCAAAATCTTTTAAATTTACTTTATATTTATTTTTTATTTATTGTAGATTTATATTTCTCAACACAAACTTCAAATTTGGTCTGATTATATGACACAACTATTGGAATGTTTGATGGTGATTAATTATTGTGGTCTGAAATTTTTACTAAAATTATAAGTGAAGAAACTGTTTTAAATTTGTTAAACAAGTATGCAAGTAATAAAAGCAGAAACAAAGAATAGATGGTAAGTAATAATTATTTTAATAACTTATTTAGTTTGTTTAAGCCGATCATTTGTAAAGAATTAAATATTTCAATTGTCAATTAAACTCTTAACAAATATTTCACTTAAGTCTGCTAAGAATATCTAATCATTAACAACAGAGGGATATGCAAGTAGCACTAAGATCCAGTGACATATATTTCATAGTTATATGTATAATCGATCGCAACACTTTTTTTTGTAAAAAAGTTGTTTGTAAATAATCAAAGTTGATATTCTATAAAAGAAAAATATGTAGGGTTAAAAATTGTAGTAGCACTGCTTTATGTGATAAATATACTTGTGTTTTTATGTACCACACACTAAATCATTATAAAAACTTATAATAAAGAAAGAAATAGTCATCACCGTATTCATTAAAATCATGCGGCTATTCTCTCGACATACTTAGTTAACTAACAAATACGACAGATAAAATTTGTATTACAATTAATATCATGAATATTTTTGTATTATGATTACATAATTATATAACTAATGGCTTATTAGTTATAAAATCAAACTTAGTGTATATTATATTTAGATATTAGTATTTATTATTACATTTATCGCCGATATTATTCAATTAATGTGTTGAAATAATCAAAAGTATAATCCTTAAGTATCACATTGAATAATAACTGTAAATATAAATAAATAAAGATAAAAAATAAATGTTAGTAAATTTGAAGGGCCTTTTTTTTTTTTGCTTTCTCTTATACACTGAGACCTGCTAGATTTTAAAGTACTTAAAAGTGGCCCGCTAGTTACTTTGAGCTGCCCATCTCTGATATAGACAAAATAGCAAACCCAAAATCAACATTTCATAAAAAGATGGATCAAGCATATCGTATGTAGACTACTATAAAAAAGTATATTATTATACATGATTTTATCTATCTGTAGTTTTCTATATATACATTTTTTACTAAACATGTATATATTTTTATTTTTAAAGATATGGAATAACTGTCAGCGACTAATATCAGCCAATGTTGTTGTCAAAGAAAATAAAAGTTTTTTAAATTAAAGCTGAAGAAATGGAGCTGATATACTTGGTTTCTGAAATACGTAAGTTAATGGGAATAAATGCAGAAATGAGGTAATCATATTTACAGAATATACTACTTATAAAAAATGAATTTGAAACAACTTAATTGTTTAGAAAAAATTAATATAATATTGTATTATACATATTAATGTCTATAATGATTAATAAGTAATATAAACAGCAGAAATATTTTAGTTTAATTTTGTTTTCTATCAATCTAATTATTAATTCTGTGTAGAGCGATACAAATATTTATTTTACAACTGTATTCTTCATTATTGTGAAATATGTTGATTATTTTAAAGTTAAAAATATATAACATTCACAGCGACAAGCAATATTTTTTCAAGTATAATATACTATTTATAATTAAAAAAGTAATTTTAACTTAATGCAGGATTTGGCATTGCATACAAGAGTGAGTCCTGCTGAAAGAATTTTCAAGTATAATAGCTTTATAAATCGGTTTCTTATTTTACCCGAGATAAATATTTTTATTGAAATAATAAAGAGTAAATAAACATTTGCTTTAATTTCTACTGAATATTTTAGTCTACAAAATCATTAATACTGTGGAATTTAACTTTGAGTATTGAACTCATCCAAGTTACTGGTCGTATATTATTAAAAGAAACACTACAGTTATAATCACAAATATCAATCTGGAACTGAAGCTAATTGGATAACACATTTATATACATTACCCATGTTTACTATTGCTATAATACCACAATATTGGGTAGTAGTAACTCCATACAAGCATAGATCTAAAGTTTACCAATTTGTCAATATTCTACTTCAGGCATCATATAAATTTAAATTTACATTGCCACTAACAAATAAGTTAATATTTATTATTTACTTGATTACAAAATATACTATAATGTTTAAATAAGTTTTTTTTAGAGAAATGTTAATGGATACAAATATAATACAACTAAATTGAATAGCATTATAAATGATACGTTTAATCCATTGTTTATTTTATGCCTCATTAAATCTTCACATGATGATTTTTATAATATTATCAACAGAAAACTGTGTTGAAAAATCAGGTAACTAATTATCTGAAATTGAAACTATAGATTTTATCATAAATTTGAATCTAAATAATTGAGTACGACAGTACGAGATTTACTTCATATTCATTGCAGTGTTGATAGGTTTTTTTATTAGTTATAACTTTTAAGGTATAAAATAAATTGTAATAAAAATGTATCAACATTATTTAATTATTGACTATAAACATTGAAGATTTTGTATATGGATATTAAATATTTATAACCAATTGGTAGTTTGATTATTTTGTTTTATTTGTCTCATCTCATAGTAATACTTTAATATTTTATAACAGTAGTTTGTAACTATTAAACTTAATTTTTACATAAAATCATTTACAATATAAATTAAAAATAATAGGTATTTTTGAGCATAAAAATATGGATTAAAATTATCTCTGACTATTTCCTTGTAAAACTAATAATATTTTATTATTATTTTAATCCTGGAGTTGTAGAATACTATACTAGTATTCTATAATAGTTCTATTTTGAGTTCAGTGATAATATTGATATTATTTATTTAAGTGACAACGTATGCCGCGCCCCCTGGAGACCGTATTCAAGGCAAATTTTGTCCGATTTGGTCAGTCAGTGTCTATACCTTGGTAATATTGTGTTCAGTATAAGGTTTGTTGACTGTACCATCACTAGGAAATGTACCTAACCTCAAACCTTGTTTTTTTCTTCGTTGTCGTCGTCGTACTTTCCGTTCCCTTATTAGTTGTTCGGATGTTGAATAACAAATAGTTAACATTTATTCTTTTGATTATTTTTAAAACATTTTATCGATAAACGCCCTTCAAAGATTTTTGTTTGCATAACATCAATTATAAATACATAGGTACCCGGTGTGTCAATACACAGAACAGGTTCGTTTTTTAAATCTTGAATAATTGCCTACTTATATTTCAAACTGTTTTCAGTTTTTTTGTATGAGCCAATGGAGTAACTTTACCATTTTGTTTAGAATTAATTTTTTACATTCATACTGTAAAATATCTACAGAATAAATATTTTTACAAACTTCCTTCATTTATGTATTCTCAAATTTCAATATTATTGTATTATAATTATTGTTGATATTATTGTTGTTTCAGAAACATGTCCAAACAGTGTATTAATATTCATTGCAAATCAAAAAATGATAGCAAGCTCTTTCCTGTCCAACAATCCATATGCAGTTATTATAATGTTCGGTACAAACCGTATTATCGAGTGTGTAAGGAATGCATGACAAAAAACATAGCGTATTCAGACGCTAGAAGTAAAAAAATGAAAAGTATAAAATGTGTTAATGAAGTAAACAATCATTCCAATATAATTCAATTATCTGACTCTGATGATTCTAATACCGTCAACTATGGTGCTGGACCATCAACAGTAAATTTAAATCCACGAATGACTAAATTGTCTGTATTGATAAATACAAGCTGTAACAACTGTGATAAATCTTTATTGAAAACAGAAAATGAGGAAAGTGATATACATTTAATTCCTGAAAGTTCCAAACTAATTGCTGGAAGAAACAAAATAAACAATTTAATGAAAGAGTTAGATAATGATTTATCAACATTTTATGATTATGATTTATCAAAATTATATAATAAGTTTTACAATTTCGATAATCAACAAAAGTTTATATTTGATGAAAAAGAAAGTATTGAAGATTATTTTGAACTAGAAAAAATTGAAGACAATGACGAAGCGAATATATCAACTAAACTGTATCCTGGTCCAGAAGTTTTACCAGAAGAAGGTATACTGAAAAGACGCTTATTAAAATCGAGTGACAAAGTGTTTGGCATGAATTATTCACTAATGCACCCGTGGATTGAAGCAACTATTAAATCAGCAGTTAGTGATTCATGTTTTAATATTATATTTGGTGACGGAGAAGAAACAACTTTGAATATTACAAATTTAGCATACATAAATACTAAAAGCAATGCACAGTATCCAGTAGGTTGTAGAGTGATTGCCAAATTACAAGATAATAACATTAAATCTACGAATGGATTCTTCGTGGGAATAATAGCAGAACCACCAAAATATCTTAACAATTTCAGGTTTGTTTAATACATTTTAATAAATAATTTAGGTAATCTTTAGGTTAATATACAGAATATTTTATTACTTAATCATTTTCTCATTTAATGTTTTTTTTTGAAACAAAAAAGTTATTAGGTACGTTGATAAGAATTTAAATGCAGTATAAAAATTAGTAAAATATGCAATCTATTTCCTAAAATATATAAAAACTTTTATTCTATACAACATTCAAATTTGTTATATAAAAATCAAACAAATCATGTATAATTTATCATAAATAATAATGTTACATTGAATATTGCGTGCTGTTTCATATATTCTTTCAAATTTTGAAATACAAAGACCAGCGATTAAAACAAAGAATGAATTTATATCGAATAATATGACATACACCATGTCAATGAAAAATCTAGTCTGTTATTAGTTTATAATATCATTGTTGATTAAAAATACATATTTTAATATAATTCACTCACTATTGTTCTGCTTATAAATAATAGGTATTCATGAAAGTGTCGTGTTGCATTATTTAAAAATCTACCTAGATAATAAGTTTAAATTAAATAAAAATATATTCATTTGAATAAAAAATTTAATAATATTTTATGAAAATGTTTAATAACCAATTAAAAGCAATAATTGTATTTCTAGTTATATTTAGTTTATTATATTGTTCAAGTATACATTTTTTTTTTCATTTAATTCATGAAATGATCCCATTATTTAAAGAAAATATTAGAGTATTAAATATTTTATATTAAATAATAATAAAATATACTACTTATAAAATAATAATAGATTTTTTGAAAATTTAAAAAAAAAGAATTATACTGCTCACTTTTTTAAAAACATTCTTTTTAAAAGCAAACAATGAATAGTTGAACAATTTTACTATATATATTTATCATATTTTATGTAACAACACACTTTTTTGTTTTGTCTTAGGTATTTAATATTCTTTGATAATGGATATACACAGTATGTACACCATCAGGATATACGCCTAGTATGTGGCGAATCAACAAATGTGAGTGACGATGTACATGAAAATGTCAGGGAATTTGTCAAAGTTTATTTATCATTTTATCCAGAACGCTCAATGTTAAGGTTTAATAAAAAACAAGTAGTTCGTGCAGTACTAGACAAAAAATGGTATTTAGCCGAAGTATCAAAATTAGATGCTTCATTAGTTCAACTAAAATTTCTTGATATTAAGAATAAGCAAATTAAAGAATGGATTTATCGGGGCTCAGATAGGTTAGGCCCAATATACGTACAAGCAAATAATAGTAATACAAATAAACGTGTACGTGGTACAATGTCGGTTAATATTGATAAGATATTAAATCGACCATATATTGAACTAGAAAACTTGAATGAAAATAAAAATAATATTAATATTGCAAATAGTGACAACACACCTAACAATAATAGAAGAGTCTCAGCTCGCCTAAAACAGAAAGCTGGAAAAGAAAATTGTGTTATTAAAATAATAGAAATCCCAAGAAACTGTCCAAAACCATTTCCTTATGAAAACCACCAGTGTTCTGATTCATGTATGTTACGGGTTCAGTATAACTACAGTCAAACAAAAAATATGAATGTTTTAAGCATTCCGTTACATTTTGGATTCAAGAGAATTATAACAAAAAGTAAATACCCAAAATCAAGAAAAGTCATATATACCACACCTTGCGGATATAAAATTTATAACGAATACGAAATGTATGATTACTTGAAAAAGACCGGTTATCATAATAATCAAATGACTATTGATTTATTTAATTTTGATTATTTAGTGAATCCACTGTCTTTTTTAAGTGTACCCAATGAGTTTATTCGCATACATGATATATCTTGCAAATTGGAATTTAAAACAATTAGTGTTGCAAACAATTTGAATGATTTGGTACCAGAGAATGTAAAGTACATAATAAAACGCAAAACTACTCCTGGTGTTAATTTGAATTTAAATTTAAAATTGTTATGTGGTTGTGATTGTACTGATAATTGTGAAGACAAAACAAAATGTTTCTGTTGGCAACTCACTTACAAAGGTCCAAAAAATTATCCAAAAATGTCTGAAGACCCTATTGTTGGCTATAATTACAGACGACTGTACGCCCCAGTGCACACTGGTATTTTTGAATGCAATGATAATTGTAAATGTATGAAAACTTGTTTAAATCGTGTGGTTCAAGAACCATTGAAGAATTCACTCCAAATGTTTTTAACACAAAATAAAGGTTGGGGAGTGAGAACACTGGCAGATATTCCCAAAGGTGGTTTTGTTAGTATATTTGTTGGAGAGTTACGCACAGAGAAAATTGCTGAAAGCATTTGTGCAGTAAATGGCGACGAATATCTGGCAGATTTAGATTTTCTTAAGACAGTTGAGGAGATCAAGGATGGATATGAAAGTTGTGTTCCAGAAGAGAATGAAAATAGTACTAGTTCATCTGATGATGACCGTAATCCTGGTTTGACTATCAAGAATAAGAAAACTATGTCTAAATCTAAAATGTCATTAAAGAAAAATTTACCAAGTACAAAAGCTAATGACAAACATCAACTGTGTAATACAAATACCCAACACAAATTTGATAGTAAACACATATCTGTGCTCAAGTACCTTGACGAAGACTGTGGTGTCTACTCATTAGATGCTAAGGCCAGGGGCAACATAGGTCGCTATTTCAATCATTCCTGTGATCCTAATATGTTTGTTCAGAATGTTTTTGTTGATACACATGACCTTAGATTTCCATGGGTAGCATACTTTGCATTATCACATATTCCAGCTGGAGATGAACTAACATGGAATTATAACTATGCTATAGGGAGCGTGAAAAACAAAAAGTTAAAATGCTACTGTGGGTCAAAAAATTGTAAAGGCAGACTATTATAATTTTTATTCTGCGGTATAATCAATAATGTAGCATTAAAAGACCAGAATTTACTTAGGTTATAGTGTTCTGCAGTGGCACCGAGTCATATAAATTTAAATGAAGCAAAATCAATATATTTACACACTCACCCATCCACCACTGAGAAAATTGTCTACCTCTAATAACTAATAAAGTTAAGTTAATTTTTAAATTATGTAGTATAGGTATTATGTAATGTAAAAACAAAAACATGTATATAAATAAGACCACCCACCCTCTATTATATGAAGCTATCACTTCGGTTCATGTATAGGTTTGGTGCCACTGGTGTTCTGTATAATCTAAGTTTATTACTTAATGCCTTTTTACAGATCTCATGAACATATAATTTATGTGTACTCTATAAATAATTTTAATAAATTAATAATAAATTTTAACATAAACAATCTTCATGAATAATGCTGAATTTGACTATCAATTTTAATATTATTATTATTATTGTTATTATTTTTTAGATTCTAGTAAAATATATATGTAAGATATTTATTGTATAATTTTTATATAATATTGTATTTCTTTTTTAATTATACTTAGACTATCTGTACTATTGAACTTTGGCTTGATTTATTCAACTGAATAAATTTTTATTATTTAAAAATTAAAAAAAACATTTGTATACATTACTATTTTGATTATGTTATTTTATTAATACAGTATAACCAACTACTCCTTAACTTAATAGCTATGAATATTGACTAAGTTCAGCTGTTGTAAAAAATATGTTGCAAATATGTCAATCTAATGATAACAATTGTAGCTTCTGATGCTTCTTGCTGTATCTAAAAATATTTATTTTAATTATGAATTTATCAAGATAAATAGTTAAATTGTTCAATAGTTCATTATTAAATATGACAATATATCATTTATTTTGAACTATGTAAAGAGTTTTCAAAAAAAAAAAAAAAAAATACATGATCCAAAATGTTTGTAATCATCACAATATATTAAAGAGCCTATGAATATAATAGGATTTAAAATATTCACCATAAATAATTTTAAAATTTTGAACAATATAATTTAATACTTATGTTATTAGTGCTAGGTAACAAATTAATTTTTGTTCAAAAAACTGGCTGTTCTATAATTGTGTCCTAGAATATAATATACAAATATTATTTAAATTCAAATTAGAGACAGTAATAATTTCAATAGTATAATTTAGAAAATTATAATTATAATTGTTGATAGGTAGGTATATATCATATATTATTAATTATTATAATAATTGTATTACCTACTTAATAACATTCAACTTTATTAGTGCTTAAGTGAAATGTTTAACACAAGAAAAAATGTCAATGAACGAATGTTAAGTAAACTGAGCAATTTTAATAAGCAAGTTAGGTTAGGCCCTTAACCTATTGTTAAATACTACATACTTGTAGTTAATAATTTTGTAATCTAAAGAGTTGACTGTTTATATAGATAAGAATCTATAATATATTTAATTTTAAGTTCTTAAATGAACTGTAATTATTTTTTCAAACGTATGTACAAAACATAAATAAAAATTTATGTTAAAAACAATGCAATTGAGCTTTTAAAATTTTTTTGTGCTTAAAAGGCAACAAACAACAAATTTTCAATTTTTGGACAACATATTGCAGCTTAGCTTGAAAAATTGCCATTATAACAAGCTCTCTTATTTCAAAAAAAAATTCAAAGTTTGTTAATTAATGCTCGATTTTAATTGTTTCAAGACCACCAATACCATGCACAAGTACCTCATCAGACAATTTAGTATAGTATCACATGGTAAATCCAAATGAAGATGATGATGTCCATGATTCAGTTAGTTTACCCCTATTGTTGCCTAGTTCAGATACTTCAGCATTTTATAATAATTGGGAAAACAACTAGATAGATTATTTTATTTATTTATTTTATATACATAATTACTAGTTATCTAGTTATGAAGTTCAAAGTTATATTCATTTTATTTTAAAATATGAAAGTTTATTTGATTATTGTTAAAATATTTAATGAAATTACTTTATGGATACTACAATAGTTTTTCCTTTGCCTTAATATATTATAATCCTGCAATTCTTCAAATATTACATGTAAAACTTCAAGTAAAAATGCACACAAGAAAGAATGAAGATTACCCTACTTTGTATATATATATATGTGTGTGTGTGTGTGTGTGTGTCATCGGCATTGTGACAAAAGCATAGATAATACAGAATGGATAGGCCACGCCTATGCTTATAACATTAGGTGTCTCGTTCCAAAAGACATAGATATTATCTATGCACAAAGGGTCGTTATAAATACTACCTATTACAGCACCATAATATTGTTATCATTATGCAGTCGTTATCATTTTGTTGTTATCAAGCAAAAATCTGTTATCTAAAATATGCGCGGCAATTAGTATTTTGATTTTTGATGGCTGAAACCCAATTAATTTGACGAGCGTCTGGAGACAGCACCCTCGGAGCAGTTTTCCTTATCACAACAGCGAACATATGTATGATAGGAAAAGTTGCAGCTTGTTATCGAACAATACCACAAATATGGTTTTAGAAGCTCATAAAACTTGGCAACATGGTTATTTAAAGGGAAAAATCAACGCCTGATGTACACATATATTTACTAAAATCATTACAGATAAAACTTTGAACGACTAATAAACTGCAATGGTGGAAAAGCTAATCACCATGTAATGCTATTGGTTAGTCGTCAATGTTCTGTTGCTCATATTACCCTTTCTGAATTCACAACAGAAATCACTTTATCTTGTAAATATCTGAAACTTTGATCAAAATTATCTTGTTAAGAAACGTGGAACTATGCATGTAAAATTAGGTGCTGTATAGTGTGTTCTATTTGCTTGTACTGCGTTATGATTACAAATACTGAGACATATGTGCGTTATTATCCATGCTGTAAAATGAATATGGTTGACGATAAAGTTTCTAATTTCTGAACAAGTGATGTATGTAATCCATGATAACTGATGAAGTATATGAAAATTCCAATCACTCAACAACCGGATTCTGTATCCAAGGAACTATTATAAACTTCAAGAATTTATCACATACGAAGTCAAAGGCGAATATCATTAAGTTCATAAACAACTAATGAAATCAATGTTTATTGATACCGGTTTGCTATTATATGAAGGAGAAAATACATCTAATAAAATGAGAAAATCAAGAACCTGTTAATAAAGAACGTCAAAACAGTCGCGTATTTTATTCAACTGAAAAACAAGGTGATAAAGCACCAGAAGAACTAGATTAAAGAACCTATACAAACAATAAAATCAAATTATAGATGATTGAAGGAAAAACAAAACTCTACGTTCATACGATTTTGACCACTTATACAAAATAATTCACTATTAATACTTTAAACAATTTTAATTTAGACTCAGTGAAGAATAATTATTTTTATATTTTTAATGACTTACTATATTTATTAATTGAGTTTAGTGTTTAGAAACAATGCGAATTATTATACAAATTGAAATGTATTGTAATTTGTATAAATCTAATAATCATGACAAACAACAAAATAATTATATATATCAATATGTAATTGCTATAATTTTTGTTAAAGTTGCTAAAACGATTAATATGCTCTTGCCTTATAGTAATAAAATTAATTAATATCATATACTGATAAAGTATTAACCAAAGGTATTAAACATTGTAACCGGTATCTGGTTGGTTAATGCTCGATAATGGTA